TTGAGGCACTCGGGACCGCTTCAATGGGCGTCCGGAGGGTCCCAAAGTCCCAGGATCCCAGGAGTCCGGTTTGGGGGGGGGGGGGTGCGGGGTTTTGCGGCCGCCCGGGCTTGTAAAAATATAGGAAGAGGAATATATGTCTTTCTCTCTCTCTCTCTCTCTGCGTCGGCCCCCCTTCCTGGTGGAGCATGGGCCCCTTGGGCTATGCGTGCCTGTGAGGGTGGCGGGGGTCTCTGGGGTCGGTCTCACCTTTGGTGACCAACCACGCCCCCGCCCAGCTGCCGCCTGCCGTCTGTATGTTCGGGATGCTGCGCGAGTTTTTCTTCCCTGGGCTGCGGGGGCTGCGGGTCGATCCGTGCGAGAGATCGGCCGAACCTCGCGCGAACCGGTGATCCCACAGCGGCTTTCGCCAGAGCCCCTGCCGCCCCGCTCTGCTCTGGCACCCGCGAGCCTCGCGGCGCCCTCCGCGTCTTGTCCGAGATGCCCTTGGTCGATGTGGTGGCGACTTGGACATCGGTGCGTACGGTGCACCTCGCGTCTTCAGCTGTGCTGCCTGGACGGTGCCCTACCAATCTATTTAGGTCGCCTGTTTTTGGCCAGCCTGGACGGGTCACTGAGACCGGCTTCTCTTGGTGACGTGGTTGGCACTCACCTGTGGACTTCACGGCATGGCGAATTAGGTCGGGTTCGGCCCCGCATGTGCGTTGTTTCTACGCGTGCTGCGCGCTCCGTCACCACCACTCTATGCTGTTACAGCGTATGCTTTCTGCGACGTTGATTTACTGTTCGGATCGCGCTGTGTGGTGCTGCCGTGCCTTGTAGGTCTAGCGCCCCATCCTTTCTTGCTATTGCATCGTGCGTCGCCGGTTCGTAGGTTAGCACCCTACCAATCAGTTTCGTCAGGCCATAGTTTTCTCAGCGCTATCCCACACATCAGCTGGTCTGGCAGTTTTGCAATTCCTTGTCTTCACTGTCTAACATCGCTCTGATGATTCAGTGGCACAACTTGACACCATACTGCTGGCGCTTCAACTTATTCGAGTTGAGCTTTGCGTTGCTCGCTCTGTTGGCCGCTGCACGTTGGCTTTACAGCATGTTTTTTCTTTTCACCATCCCTCTTGCACTGCAGTGGTGGCCGTAATCTTCACCGCACGCTCCGATTAAGTTTTGTTTCAATTCGCATTTACAGCAGCTGACCGCGCCTGAGGCTCCTCTGCGCCGCCGACTTGCACGTGGGCCATATTGTCGGAAACTGGAACATACACATTACCAGTGGCGGGCTGTTTTTCAATCCTAGGACTTTTTGAGGGTCGGGGACGACGCTGGGGTGCTGTGGTGTATACTTCTTTCCCCGATGTCCCGGGGAAGCAACGAAAAATGTATACACCAGGGTCCCGTAGAAACCAGGATCTGCTCTCCAGTGCAAATTTCAATGCAGGGCCGGAAAAAGCGTCGGTGTATAGAGTTCGATTCCTTATGTTGGGCGACATCGAGCAAGAAATGGAGCGAACTCAATAACCCCCCCCCACATTGCATCTTGACACATCGGTTCTGTGGGTCCTCTCGGAGCGCTCTCGTGGTGCTCTTGGGCGCTCTTGGAGAAGCCCTCAAGCTCCCCTCTTTGGGTTTTCTTGGCCGATCTTGGAAGCATCTTGAGGCCTCAAAACCCGATCGAACGCGAACTCGACGAACCTTCGGCTTCTGAACGATTTGGCCTCTCAGGGGCGTCCTTAGGAGGCTCCGAGGCCACTTGAGGCAATCTTGGGGCCTCTTGGCCCATCAGCTTCCCAAGGATGTCCCCGAAAGCCCGCATCATTGAAGCAACGGGACGGCAGCAATTTGTGCCCCCCCGTCGGCGCCCGACACAACGCTTCTGGGGGCGTCCTTGGGATGCTCTGGGGGCCCTACTGGCCGCTCTGCGGACCGTTTTGGCGACGTTCCGGGTTCCCCTTGGATCCCTCTTGGGCGATCTTGGAGCCGTCTGAGGCTTCAGAAATCCGTCGGTCGCTAAAGGTCGAGAAGACAAAAGCCATAGGAAGCCATAGGGCATTTGAGAGATTTTGGCTTCTTAGGGGTCTCGTGGGTGGTTCCGTTCCCAATTGGCGCCGTCTGGTGGCGATCGTGAGGGCTCTTGGAGGCATGTTGGAAGGGCGATTTTGTACCATCTTGGAGGCCATCTTGGGATAGTTGGGGGCGTCTTGATGCCATCTTGGACCCACTAATCCTTCGCGCCCCTCCGCCTCTCCTTCAGACCCAGAGGAAGGGGTAGGGGGAGGGGTCAAGCTACCCACCCGCCCGTAAGCCGTCCATGTCACTCCCACCCGCCCTCCCAACACATAAGTAACACCCGAGCCTGAGCATGTTCAGCGGTCGTCTTTGGATGGACAGCTACTGGGAACCCAAGCCGACCCCAGGTGCGCGACGCTTGGGCGAGGTGCGCCATGCGTGTCAGGGGCGCCAAGCGCGCCAGGCACCCCTGGAGCCCGAGCGTGCCAGGCACGCTTGGTGCGCCAGATGCGCCACGTGCTCCGAGTGCGCCAGGTGTGCCGCACACTCTAGCCGCGCCAGGTGCGCCACGTTCGGGGCACGTGCAGAGTGCGTCAGGTGTGCCTGCGCACGTGACAGCACACATCGGGAAACATGTTGGCCCCCACCATCCTTGTCGAAAACCAATGCCCATCATTGAGTCTGGTGGGCCTGCGCACAGCAGGCCCACCAGACTCAATGTTGTATTGTTTTTTGTCAGGGATGGTCGGCCTGCGCGCAGCAGGGAATATGCTGACACCCCCGCCGTCCCTGTCGGAAACAATATGAAGTGCTCGCGGGCCTCACGAACACGACTCAAGACTTTGCCCCGAAGTGTATTTTGTTTTGCTTTTTAACAGGGATGGTGGGGGGGGCCGCATCGGGTTGGCCGCGCATGCTCCAAATGTGGAGACAGAGTGCGGTTTGTATAGTTTTTTGAAAGGGATGGTGGGGGGCGGGTCGTCATGGTGTCCTCATGGTTCCTAGTTGGGCGCCGGTCGCCTGGGGGAGGGGGTGTATATTGATAAGGAGCAGTGATTAAAATCCCAATAGGAACGCCGCAAGCTGTCACGCTTACTGCCACCAGCACTCCCGCCATACATACGTAGCACCTGTGACTCCTCCTATGCAGAGGCCGCCATCGGATGAACATCCACTGGGAACCAATACAGGCGCGCGACGCTGGCGAGGACGGGGCGGCGGCGGTCGCACCAGTCGCCCACCCAGCAGCCCGGGGCACAGGGAGCCCGGGCCGCGCCGCCAGACAGCTCTCTCGCTGGCGCCTCCGCCAGGGCAGCCCCTCCGCTGGCGAGGGCGCGGCGACAGGAGGCAGCAGCAGCGGCGGCAGTTGCGGCACTTTCGCAGCGGGCGCGCGCCGCACCCCCAGCGCACAGCTTGTGGTGGCAGCGCTTCACCGGGCCAGCTGGCCCAGGCTCACTGCGCAGGACCTGCCCGTGGGGCAGGCTCTCCTCCAGTGGGACCCTCCGAGCGGCGTCGCCCATTGCCGGCCGCTCGGCGGCGCTTCCGGCTGCGGCGCTGACTGCAGCAGCGGTGGGCCCCGCTGCCACCCTCGACATGGAGGACCTCGCCTCGATGCTGCCACGGCAGCATCGAGGCGCAGTGCGAAGCTTTCGGGGGGAGCTGGACGCCGAGGTCGCGGCCAGGGACACGGCTGGCCAGCCGCACGGTAGTCGTGCGGCGTCCCATCTGGTCTGGCGAGGCGAGCGACGACGATGCGGCGCCTCCTGCGGGCGCCCCACGCGGCGTACGCTTCGAGACCGACTTGGCCACGCCGTCGTGCGGACATCACCGGCCCCGCTCGGCGGCAACTGCGAGGCCCCTGCTGGGCCGAGGGCAGCCGCTTCGGAAGGCAGCGACGTGTCACTGGCTGCTGGGGGCGTCATGCCCCTGGCTACTCCCCCACGCGCTGGCGGCGGGCGCGACCTGGGTTGCTCCACTGAGGGTGGCTGCAATGGCGGCCGATCCCTGGCGAGACCAGCGGGGCGCGGAAGCGGCCAGTAGCAAGGGGAAGGCAGCCGCTGAGGGCAGCGACGGGATACCAGATGCCAGAGACGGGTGGACCTGGTTACCACCACGCGCCGACGACGGGCACGTCTCGGCGGGCTCGTTCTGGGTTGGAGGCAGTGACGGAGCGCCGGTTGCCAACGCGGCCGCCGCCTGGCGCGTGCGGCAGAACCCGGCGGCGGCCAGCAGCGACAGGGAGCCAGCTGCAGAGGACGAGGGCGGCAGCCATGGTGCACCTGCTGCTGGGGCGAGCGCGTCTGGGCGGGCTTCTAATGCGCAGGCGCCGTGCACGCTCTGATGCCCGGCCGCATGGCTCGTGAGCCAGCGACGGTGCGCCGTCACGCGGCGCTGGCGCCTTGGCAGTTCAAGAGCTGCCAGCGGCTAGCTGCGGCCAACGCCCTCGATGCCGGCAAGCTCGCGGGGCTGCGGGTGGGCGGGTGGGCGCGGCTGTGGGTGCGGGCAGCGGAGCGCGCGCGCGGGCGCCTGTTCACCCACCTCATCGCCCCTCACCGCGCCCCTCTGTCGTGTCGTTGCTCTGTCCGTCGCTTTTTCTCTGCTCTGCCGCCGTAAGTTGTTCTTCTCGCGCCGGGAAAGAGGCGCGCCGTTCGTGCAAGGTGCACCGGGTGCCCCAGGGGCCCAGGGGGTACCAGGCGCTCCTGGTGCACCGCATGCGTCACGTACTTCAGGTGTGCCAGATGCGCCACCTGCTCCTTCCGTGCTTTGGGCGCACCCTGTGCGCGACGCGCACAGAGTGCGCCAGGTGCGCCAGTTCGCGAGGGCACTGCACATCGAGCAAAATGTCGACCCCCTGACCGTCCGTGTCAAAACCATCCTCAAAGCGGCGGCGGAGTGGTTGGCAATGCATGGGGTGTGTACACCCCAAAACACTTTGCATGTGCTTTTGGAGGGATGCGAAGTTCTCGCGCGATCCCGTTCATGATCCAGATCTT